TTAATATAGTCTCCATGTATCCTGTAAATAGAAAATTATGGGGGACCCGTGTGCATTCAGCTGACTACATTAAAGTTAAGTGCTCAGTCACATTGTATCCATTCCTCATTATTTATTACTTTTACTGTACTGTAGTACCCCGATTTACGCGGTCAATTGAACCCACAGGGTACAGGCGGAAAGTGAAAACCGCGTAAAGTGAACAACAGAACATATGGGATTAATTCCAATAGAGACTGGCCCGACCCCCAAACTCCACTTTTTCCGACACAATACCTATGTTGTAGTAAAAATAACATCTAAATTTTATGATGGTATGCTCACACAATTAATATTTAAGAGAAATACAGTCGCCAGGTTAATGTCCATTCAAATAATGGACTCAAATCCCCCCCCCTCTTCCCAGCTCACTGGCCCCTACCTCTCTGAGAAATGATTGGGTGAAACACTAGATTTTAACGTTTAGTAATAAATAATACCTCAGACTAAAGTTAGGATAATATAATTGACATTTCTGGATTCCTTGCAGGTCAGGGAATATTTTGAATGTAAACTTCATATATTTTGCACAAAAGATAAAATACTTGCTTTGTGTAAACCAAATTATTACATTAGATCTAAAATTTGTATGTCTAATGCAAAATCCATGATGTTTATATTCAAAATGATCATCATATTGTAAGAATTCCAGCAATGTAAATTATATTCTGGTCCAGTAATTTGTATGAATTTTATGAGCTAAAACAAATATCTTCAGTTAATAAAAAAAAAAAATATTCTTCACGACACTATCTGTCAATCAAAGTACCCCAACTTGCCTCCCCCCTCTTCCAACCGGGCCAGATGGTCGGTCAGTCCCAACCCTCCCCCCCACCCACCACCTTCCCTCCCTACCAAAGAAATGTTGGGTGAAAAAACTAGATTTTAACTTTTAGTAATAAATAATACCTCAGACTTAAGTTAGGATAATATAATTGACATTGCTGGATTCCTTGTAAGACCAGGAATATTTTGAATATAAATGTCATATATTTTGCACAAAAGATAACATATTTACTCAGAGTAAACAAAATACTTACATTAGATCTAAAATTTGTATGTCTAATGCAAAATCTATGATGTTTATATTCAAAATGATCATCAAATTGTAAGAATTCCAGCAATGTAAATTATATTCTGGCCGGGTAATTTGTATGAATTTTATGAGCTAAAAAAAAAAATTATACTTCACGCGTATATGGGTAGATGAACAGAGGAAAGTGAAAGTTCGGTTCTGGGGGTCTGGCGAGGCACCGCGTATATGAGAAACCGCATAAAGTGAAACCGCGTAAAGCGGGGTAATACTGTATATATACAGTATTACCCCGCCTCACGCGGTTTCACTTAGCGCGTTTTACCGTATACGTGGTGCCTCGCCAGAGCTGAACTTTCACTTAACGTGGGTTTTTTCCAAATATACACCCCATATACACGGCGAGTGTCCGGCTTGAGACCTATTTTTAGATTTGCCCCACCCCCCACCCTGCCTGACTGCCTGTTTTAGCTCATAAAATTCATACAAATTACCCGGCCAGAATATAATTTACATTGCTGGAATTCTTACAATATGATCATCATTTTGAATATAAACATCATAGATTTTGCATTAGACATACAAATTTTAGATAAAATGTTTACTCTGAGTAAATATGTTATTTTTTGTGCAAAATATATGACATTTGTATTCAAAATATTCCTGGTCTTACAAGGAATCCAGCAATGTCAATTATATTATCCTAACTTTAGTTTGAGGTATTATTTATTACTAAAAAGTTAAATATTCTGGTTTTCCCACACATCTCCTTGGGACGGTTGGTGGGGGGTGGGGGGGAGGGAGGGACCGACCGACCGACCATCTGTTACCCTGTGAAGAATATTTTTTTTTATTAACTGAAGATATTTGTTTCAGCTCATAAAATTCATACAAATTACCCGGCCAGAATATAATTTACATTGCTGGAATTCTTACAATTTGGTGATCATTTTGAATATAAACATCATATATTTTGCATTAGACATACAAATTTTAGATAAAATGTTTACTCTGAGTAAATATGTTCTCTTTTGTGCAAAATATATGACATTTATATTCAAAATATTCCTGGTCTTACAAGGAATCCAGCAATGTCAATTGTATTATCCTAACTTTAGTTTGAGGTAATATTTATTAAAATTTAGTGGTTTTCCCCCAAAAATTTCTCAGAGAGGGAAGAGCCAGCAGTGTAGTGTGAGAAGAGGGGGAGGGAGTTGAGTCCATTATTTGAATGGACATTAACTTGGCGACTGTATTTCTCTATTTCTCTTAAGTATTAATTGTGTGCATGTACCATCATAAAATTAAGATGTTATTTTTACTACAACATAGTTATGTGTCGTCAAAAAGTGGAGTTTGGGGGTTGGGCCGGTTTCTATTGGAATTAATCCCATATGTTCTGTTGTTCACTTAACACGGTACCCTCTGGGTTTTATTGACCGCATTAAGTGGGGTACAACTGTGTGTATGTATGTGTATATATATATATATATATATATATATATATATATATATATATATATATATATATATATATATATTATATATATATAATATATATATAATATATATATATAATATATATAATATATATAATATATATATAATAATATATAAAATATATATATATATATATATATACATATAAATATATATATAAATATATAATATATATATATATATATATATATATATATATA